CGATGTTACACTCATCAAGACTTTTCATTTGAGTACCCACATGCATTTTTATATATTTTTCACATATTCATATATATATATATAATATATATAAATATATGAAAAATTTATGTGGGTACTCAAATGAAAGGTCTCAACGAGTATAATGTCAGGATGAGCTTATATCTTTAAAAATGTCAATAGTTCTCAAAATACAAGGTCATTTCTTAATTATTGATATTTTTAAAGATATAAGCTCATCCTGATGTTACCCTCATCAAGAGCTTTCATTTGAGTACCCACATGCATTTTGATATATTTTTCATATATACATATACATAATATATATAAATATATGAAATATTGATGTGGGTACTTAAATGAAAGGTCTTGATGAACGTAATATCGGGATGAGCTTATATCTTTAAAAATGTCAATAGTTCACAAGATACAGGGTCATTTCTTATTTAAGTATCTAGAAATAGAGCATTTTTCAAATGTAGCCTAAAAACTTATCATCATAAATTGACTATCGGTGAGAATGATATGAAATCTTGAAAAGGCACAAATTCAAGTAATGACCTTATCAATGACACTAAATCTAACTAAAAAATCCGATTTTATCTTATGACTATCCTGGGCACAAAATTTTTTTTATTCTCTTAATAATATAGATTAATAGCAATAATTTATCGACCGTCATAAAAAATTTCATCTATAAACTATTACAAATTACTATTTATTAATTAAAAAATAATTGATCGAATTAGTTATTACATTTTTTTATGATATGTCAGCATTAAGAATAAAAAAAGTTTTTCATTGATTATTTGGAGCTAAAAAATATTTTTATAATTTTTTTCAGACTTGACATTTGTCGTGATGGCTGTTATGTGGCACAGCGTTTATTTTTCACCGAGTATTTATTTTTCATTCATCATATTTAAAATATTTACCCAGAAATCTCGGATAGCAGAAGAGAACCAGTGGATTACGAGTAAAAATGAATATCCCCGTAACGGTGAGTAATCCAAGTTAATTTTAATAGTAAAAAAAATTTTTTTTATTCCTAAAAATTCCGAGAATTTGTATAAAATTCGATACGAATCGGGGAGTAGTCGCGTTGTTCGTTCATCCGTTATCGAGACAAACACGTCGTGGTATCCGAGTAATCAGTGGATTGCACGTAACACAGGCGAGTATGCTCATAATATACACATATATCTGGGTATATAAATACAGATATATATGAGGTATGTAGAGTAAGAGAGAGAACGAGAGCGAGAGAGCGAGATAGAGAGCACAAGTGTTGAAGGGATGTATTTCGCTGGGGATTGAAGCAGAAAGGGGAAGTAGACTTGGGTGACTGGGGTTGGGCGGTAGCCACAAGTGTCTGCCCGAGCGCCCTCTCTCATTAATTCTCCACCCTTGTTGCTTGTTAAGGAAGAGGGTGGCCGAGTTGTACTCTGTTTCTCCGTTACTCTTTGTCGTTGGCAGGAAGAGAGAGAGAGGGGGGCTTGAAAGACAAGGATAAGAGGACGAAGAAGAAGAGGAAGAGGAAAAAGAGGAGGAAGAAAAATAAGAAGAAGAGGAATAAAAGAGGTAGTGTAGTATCACCCTCGGTGACTAGTCCCGTGTACAACAGCAGTATGTACCGGGCTGACGACAGAAATGCTCTCTCGAGTGGTACGTGAGCAAAAGGGAAGTGCGTGGATGAGAGGGCGCGACGAAAAAAGTCGACGGGAACAGAGTGAAGAGATACTGAGAACAAACGAGCGTCAGGACTTGGCTCTTAGCTCTGCGCGAACTCTCGAGTCGTTTGTTGTAGATCAGAGTCGAGGAACGGAGACAAATGCCGGGTCTGAGACAGAGATCGAGATGGGGATGGATTAAAAATAAGAGAGAATAAGCTCTGCCCGGAATAGAAGAACCAAGAACCTATGTTATATATCTATGTATGTATATATAAGAAGGGGGATGATGAGCAAGATTGAGTCTCTAGATCCAGATGTATTATGTATGTACACCCGCAGTTCGCTGTCGACGAGGGGATTGATGATGAGGATCACCAGTAGAGAGCAGAGGAGCTATTCTACAATCGGGGAGTAAGTCGACAATGACGAGTTCAGTCGAGCCTAGTTCGAACCCAACGTCAATACTCAACTCCTCGGCTTATGCACGTGTCTATAAACGGAGTTATTGTACTTTCTGCGTCCTCAAGTGGTACACTCCGTTTTCGACCACAGACCGTCACCGCAGTTATATAATCATTATTCAGCATTATAATGAGAATAGAATAATAACGATAAAAGTTTGGAAAATCCAAAAGTCCACGACTCATAATGCTCATTTAATTATGAAATATTAAAAAAAAATAAGTCGTTCAAAATTAGTTGCCGAAAAAACAGCTGTACTAGGAAGGTAATGCATAGGCGCTCCTGGTGGAATAAATGTACATAAAATGTATATCACCATCGATATAAATTTTACATGGATATATATAGTAGGGTGCGTCAAAATTTAATCTTCGAAAGCAACCTTTTAACATTGAAATTTTGAGTTTCGCTTTTAACATAAGCTGTATTTGGGCATTTTCTGATATATTTTGGTGTGATAAAATTTATTTGATATTCACAGAATTTTTTAACAGGAGTTTCGTTTGGCCAAATTTTGAAATTTTGAAATTCCAGAAAAATGGCTTCAACAAAACTCCTGTTAAACAATTATGTGAGCATCAAATAAATCCTGACCCATCAAAATATCTCAGGAAATGCCCAAACCTAACTCCTGCTAAGAGCGGAACTCAAAATTCCAATTTTAAAAGGTAGCTTTTAGAGATTAAATTTTGACGCACCCTATCTTATAGATATATATCAGTCTTCTGGCTTTTTTATTTTGTTAATTTTACATGAATGAAATTAAATTACCTAACCATTCGCATTGAGTGACCTACAATTCTCCTTAAGAATTTTTTTTACAAAAATTTTACTCAATTGATGCATTTTTTTGCAAGTTACAGTGTTTTCAGAGCTTCATATATGACGAAAAGGATAATTTTTTGACCTATTTTGATGTTTTTTTCCGTTTCTAGTCAATTAAATCAATTTTTGAAAAGTGTCAAATTAATCTTCATTAAATTATATTGACAATAGTATGCAAAATATCTTAATTCCGTGAACTAACAAGACCATAATAATGAAAATAGTTGCCGAAAAAAATTTTTCGATCGTAAAGCACTCTCTGTGGCGTGGCGTCATGCAGTGTACATGACACGACGAAGGTGAATAAAATCAAATGAATAAATTAATCGAATTCAATAGTAATAAAGGCGATCTGATAATAAATCAAGTGAAAATTGGAAGTAATTTATGACATCGATATCTCGTGTGCA